AAGCCCCGACACAGCCCTCTTCACCCTACCCACTCTGGATGCACGCGCCGAGGTGTCCGGGCACAGTGAGGCTTTGCGCGATGCGGTGCGCTGACCACGCTGAACCCCGCTCTGCCGTCAGGAGCTCGAAGCACTGGCCGCCGCGCACCCGGACCGCTTCCGAGTGAGCTACTCGCTGACTGCGCCGCCGGCGGGATGGGAGGGCCTCACGGGGAGGGGGTCGGCGGAGCTCATCACGGCGGCGCTGCCGCCTCCGCGCGGCGACGGCAGCACGATGGTGCTGGTCTGCGGCACGGACGGCTTCGTCGAGCTGTGGGGGGGTCCGGTGGCGCGCGCGCCCAAGCAGCCGGGCGAGAAGAAGGGCGCGAAGGTGCAGGGCCCGCTCCTCGGGCTCCTCGCCGAGGCCGGCTTCGACGCGTCCGAGGTGTTCAAGTACTGACCGGGGAGAGAGGACGCGGCGCCTGGCATGAACGCACATCGCACACATGCGCGAGCATTTCCTGTGCATTGTCAAATGGGAGAATGGGTTTGGCGCGCCCCATATCGGTGTGTGCGTGTGTGCGTCATTATTCGCGGCGGCTGCGGGCTCTGCCTCGGGGCTGGCGCTTACCGGATACCGGTTTTTATCCTTTTTATTTTCGGCAAAAAGTCATAGCCTGACGCCGTATAGCGTGTGTAGGGTGCTGGATGGAGGACGGGTACGAAGTACGATGCACTAGCCCCAGCCGTCGGGGGGGTGTTGCCGGCGCTGGTAGATGATCTCTCGGAGAAGAGCCGGAGGGACCTTGGCGCCGGGGTCACGAGGAACTTGCAAGTCGTGGCCGAGGCGGCGACGGGAGCGGTGCAGAGGATCCAGCTCAACGATGAGGCTACGGCGCGCATAATGAAGAGAGAGGAACACATCGAGTGGCTGAGGAAGCTCTTCACTGGGTGGAAAGAGGCTCGGCCGGCCTTGAGGGAGTCGCGGAGGAGGAGGGATAACGCAGGCAACGCAGGGACGGGCCAACAGCCAGTGGGACGAACGAGGGCCGCGACGGCGGCTCAAGCGGGAGGGAGCGGAGACGGTGGGCAGCGAGCGAAGTGGGTGAGACTGATGATGCTCCTTCGACTTAGGGAGCGGTTCAGCTGCTGGGCGGGCTTCAGGCACTGTGTGCTCTAAGTCGCGGGTCATTTTTGGGCTATCTCTCGTCAAAAACGCAACGCGCGCCCCGTTTTGCGCCCCCCATCGCCCGCGCCCCCGCGCCCCCGCCGCCCGCCACACGGCCCGGGCGAGCGGCGCAACGCTTGGGCGTTGTCGGTGGGGTGCTCGCCCACAGCCCCGACCCGCCCCCCACCCTCAGGCCGCGCTCGTATGGCCAAGCGGAAGCAGCGAGCGTCGAGCGGTGCGTATTCGACTTGAGAGCTAGTTGTAGGGAGAACGAGTCAGACACGACCATGTTATCTACCCGGTTCCCGGGCCCACACCTCGAGCACAACGCCCTCGCAACTTGGAGGGAGAAAATAACCGCGGCATCACCCACAGTGACCCTCCCCTCGGCGCCCCATAGTACAGCTCGCTCGCCCCTCGAGCAGCCCCCTCCCCCGCCCCCCCGCGAGCCCCACCGCTCACCCTGCTCGCTCGCGCCGCCCGAACAGGCGAGGAGGTCCAATGCGTCAACTGCTCGCAGTGCAGCACGACGCTGCTGGCCCGCAAGGTCTTCTGTGGCAGCTGCCATACCTCGCGCGCCGAGCACCTGTCCTTCGGCGTCGTTGTCTCGGTCGAAGTGCGGCCGTATGTCTTCACGCTGGCCGACTGCCTGCGCGCCGCGATCGAGAAGGCGAAGGAGCCTGGGATCGTGCGTACGAAGTGGGTCCACATGAGCCTGGGCACCTTCAAGGCGGTGCAGGTCCACCTCCACTCGGCGCGCACGCCGGATGGGCGCCCCGACAGGGAGCACATCCAGGGCTGGACGCAGACCGCGGGAGTGCGGGGGGGGAAGAACGTGAACCACGAGTGGACGATGAACGTGCTCTCGCACGAGGCGACCGCTGCGTTCTTGGAGCGCTCCTACTCGGAGCAGCGGTCGTCGCTCCTCTTCTCGCAGGAGCTCATCTCCGTGTCGAAGGAGTGGACGGTGAAGGGGCCGGTCGTCTCCTCGATCTCGCTCCTCTGCCGGCAGATGGGGCCGGTCAACTCCTTCAACCCGGTGCTGCCCACGGTCCGGGTGAGCTGCAGCACCTTCAGCCTCTCGAGCGAGGGGCTCTTCACCTTCAGCCCGAAGGTGCCGTCGGCTGCGAAAAATGTGACCAAGGTGGTGGTCGCCACCATCATCCAGGAATGGATGCAGGACGACCGGCTGACGGAGGAGCAGAGGGCCGTGCGCCAGCGGTCGATCCCGATCGCGCTGCTGTCGGCGCTGATGGAGGTGCTGCGCTGATGTACTGCTGCCCGGCCGAGCGGGGGGGGGCGCCCGGGCGCAGCTTCCCCGGCTTGCAGCCCGGCCGACGGCGGCGGCGCCAGCAGAACGCCGGCATGTTTGGCCAGCGGGTCGAGGAGCCCGAGGAGCGGCGCGCGGCACGCGCCGCGCAGCACGAGGCCGCGGAGGCGCGCGGCCACGTGACCCACGTCTTCGAGGCGCTCGTCCGCGCCGAGCCGTCCGCCGTCATCGCCGCGTGCGACACCGTGCGGGATATGTTGGCCAACCCGGCCTCCGCCGTCGGCGGCTCGTCCACGCCTCCCTTGCGGCAGGACTGGGCGGCGTCGCTGCGGCTCGCGTCGTCGCCGGTGCGGCCATCGCCGCTGCGGCCGCCGGCGAACCAGTCGCCGAGGAGCGAGTCGTGGTGGAGAAGCCACGTCGACGGCAAGTCGCGGCAGGAGATCGCGAGGGTTGCCGCGGACAAGCGCAGAAACGAGCTGACCTGGCGGGCGACAGTCCGCTCGATGACCCGAGGGCTGCTGCCGAAGAAGCGGGGGCGCAAGGCCAAGGCGACGGTCTCGGCCGCGACCGCGGAGCAGACGCGCTCGCGGGTGACCACGGCGATCGGCAAGGCGCTCGAGCCGCTGGCCGCGCGCAACGGTGAGAAGGCGCGCGCGCTCAACGCTGCGCTGCTCAAGCTGCCGAATGCGGTGCGCGACCCGCTGCGCAATCTCGGCTACGTGCAGCAGGAGCGCTTCCTCGGCGTGCGCGACGCGTGCGACACGCTCGGCGCCGACCACTTCACGCCTTCGGCGCTTTTTTGCCAATTCGCGCTTCGCTTGAACTGAATTGCGGTGTCGCACGAAGTCCAGGCAGTGGTCGAGGAGCAAGTTTGTAGCAAGCGGGGTCGCAACCAGGAGCACGGAACCGTCTGTTGCAATCAGAGAAGCGAACTTGACACCTGAGTGGAATGCCGCGATGCCGTGCGTAACCAACAGCGGGTCGTTGTTGACGAGTGGCGTGAGTACCATCAATGTTGGCACCATGGCAAAGGCGCAACTCTGAGGTGATTTCACGAGCATGCGCACCCATTTGACGCAGAGGTATCCGACAGCCGAGCCGGCTTCGTAGCCGCTGAGAAATGCAGAGTTGCCGCCGAGGGAGACCAAGCCCGGTGGCAATCCGAAGCATCGTGATCGAACGGTGCAGAGCCACTCAAAGTACTCTGTGCGCTCATCAAGAAGCAGGTATCTATGGCTAGCCCAAGACGACGAGCTGAGTAGTAGTATCGGGTAGCGTTTGAAATCAGCTGAACTTGATTTCCTTCCAGCGCCCAATGCCGCACCGAAAGGTGCGTTCCGACAAGCCGCAATGGGGCAACATGACCTGGTTTGAGCTCCCAATTTCGCAGCGAAAGGTGTGCATCGAGATTCAGCAAGGGGGCAAGTCCTTCAGGCCAACGCCAATCGCAATCGTTTCGCAGTTGGGGCGAAGTTCGGTCTTCCTCTTCGTCATCGATCGGCGGCGAGAGGCGGCGAGTGGTGACGCGAATTTCAACCGAAATCGCGCCACCCTTTGTGCACTTTGAGCAAGAGTCGCTCCTCGTCTCTCGCAATGTTGTTGTGACGGTTGAATTTTTGCCGATTTCTGTAAGCGTCCATTTTTGAATAGGTTTGGAAACCACCGAGGGGTACGATTCCACATAATTCATCCGACGGAAACGTGGCGATGGCACCTGATTCGGGGCGCAGGGGGGGGGGGAGGATTTGGTTCTGATGAAGGTGGGGCAGCACCGAGGGGGATGGGGGAGGGTCACCGTTTGGGCGAGCCAAGGCTGTGGCGCCGACGGCGGCACCCTTGTACGAGGCTGTGAGGGGAGCGGCGGCGAGAGGGGGGGCGGCGGCGACGCAGGCGAGCCGCACACGCGCGCGACGGAGGGAAGCGCGGGCGGCGGGAAGAAGGAGGACGGCGGCGGCGGCGAGGCGCAAAACGGGGGCGGCGGAAGTGGGGGCGACGGCGGCGGCGGAGTGAACGGCGGCGCGCGCACGGACGGCGACGAAATCGACGGCGGGGAGGGGCGGGGCTGCATGGCGGCGGCGGACGCGCACACATTTGTCGTGCTTGCGCATTGGCACTCGACGTCCTCCTCGGCGACCTGCGTGCGCGCGGGAACGGCAGGGGTCATTTCGCGCGCACCGGGCGGCGCCGTGCTCGCAGCAGCCGGGATCGCGGCAGAGTATGGTGGAGAGCTCTACCCGCGCACCTGCCCAGCGAGGAGCGCGACGCCGCTCCTGGCAGGCGAGGCAGGGATCTCGGCGACGTTGGAGAGCGGGCGGACGATGTCGTGGGCGACGCCCGTCCGCAGCCACGTCGTGGTGACGATGATGGCGAGGAGCATCACGGTGGAGAGGAGCGTCCCGGCGCTGCTTGGGCTCGCTCGAGTTAGCGGTGTGGGCACGGCATGGGTGTTTTTGTTGTATCAGGGCTTGGAGGTGGACCTCCAAGAATTTTGGACATTCTACTCTCCGGCGCGCCCGCGGCGCTCTCCAAATACTCGCTCAATATAGCGGCGTGCAGCCGGCGGCGCAGCCACGCCTTGTTGCCCGAGAGGGCCTCGCCACGCTCGCCCAGCTCCTCCTTGCTCCACCACCTTCATCGCCACCAGATCCTTTTGGACCTTTCGCATCGCCGCCGCCGCAAAGAGCCCCGGGCTCAGCCTCGTGCTCAGCAGCGCCTGCCCGCCCGCGGCCACGGTGACGCGACGGCGTGTGCATCACCGTTGCCCAGGCGCGAAAGTGTGTTGTGGGAGGATGCGTCCTTATGTGTCACAAACTTGTAGCGCTACATGTACATGTTGTTTGAACACCCACCGGCGGGCGCTCTCGAGGCGAGCGGCAGCATTTTTTGCTGCACCCGGCGCGCGCAGCGCCGAAGAAAATTTTGAAAAATGCTAAAAGTTGGGCGCTCCGAGACGACCAAAGTGGTAAAAGTCGCACTCTCCCCTGACCCGAGGCTCTCCAGATGCAGAACGCAGAAGAGATCCTAAGTCCTAACCCTCAGACTATGCAAAAAGTTACACGGGACATCTACCGATTTTGAAATTTAATATATGTATGTATTTAGGGGATGCGAATGTTGGACGGAGGGTGGACGCGTATAATTATTAATAACGTATACGGCTGGGCTCTAAAGTCTAATTCTCGTATGTCGTAATTGTCATACTTTGGCAATCTGCTCTTATACAACTATTCCAGCGACGCACAAAAGGTAAACACTGCCCAAAGTCCAACGGTACACGTCTTCGACCGGGCGGCGGCCGGGGCTGTGGACCAACGTATCTACACTGCGCGCGCGATGCAGACTCCTGCTCTCGTGTGCTCTCTCCCGGCGCTCTCTCTCATGAACAACTCCACCTCTGCCGCTGCCCTGACTTCCCCGGCGCCTGGTCGCAGACAACATCCCTCACGGATCGACAGCAAGCACACGGTGGCGCTCGGCGCTCGCGCCCTAATAGCCCCGCGTGGTGGGGAGTCGGGTGCCCTGGAAAGGGGGGGGGGGGGGGGAAGCGAAGGCGGGCGTGCGGCCGAGAGAGAGAGAGTCGGGCGAGTGGCATATGCGATGTGGTGCGGGTGGTGCTGGCGGCGAGCACGACGGCGGTGGTGGCGGCGGTGGAGTGAGGGCGGGGCGCGAGGGCTTGAGGAGGGGAAGGGCTACGAAACCTCCGAGTCCTGGATGTGGCCCTGTTGGACGCCGTGGTTTTTCTTGGCAGTCTTGAGAGCGTCCACGTAGTCCTGCTTCGGCAAAAACGCGTGGTCGCCTGCGCAGGCCGCGCGTGCGGGTTGCGGCCTGCCCGACCAGCAACCCTCTCGGTGGCTGTGTGCGCCGCGGTGGACGGTTGTGTGCGGTAGGGCGTGGAGGACGGCAAATTGTGAGGCAAGGATGGGGCTGGTCAGGCTCGAGGGGGCTGCTTACCCGAAGAGTGGCGCCGCATCACCTTACTCGAGGTCTGGGGAGAGAGGTGGGTCTCCTTGGCGGCGACGACCGCCTTTGGCCGCAGGAGGATCCAGCCTGCGAGCACGGATCCCACTGGGCGTGAAGAGAAGCAAGGCAACGCAGCAAATACACAGCCTCACGCACCGCCGATAGCGGCGACAGCGGCCGCTCCCACTGCCTTGGTGGCTGACATGTTGAGAGAGATTGGGTTCGTTGATTGTCCAGTTTTAGCGGCATTTTTCTTTCTTTTTTATTTACAGTGAGTCGTCCCCGCCAATCCAGTATTGGATTTGAGGGTCGTCGTACAGTATTGGCGTCATCACTCACAACATCGTGAGCAGAGCTGCTGTCGAAAATGTCATTCGCCTCGCTAGTAGAGCCGGAGCCGCATGAGTCTTGTGGTCGGAGGAGGAGTCGTCGGAGGAGCGGTCGGACAGCCCGCGCTTGTCGCGCCTGATGCGCTCTGCGAGGGGGCCGGGCGTAGTCGTCGTGCTCGAGCGTCGGGAAGACAGCGCGCCTTGCGACCTTGTCGGCCGAGCTGCCATCCCAGTACAAGGTGTACCACAGAACCAGTCGCCGCGAGGATAGAACCAAGCGTTGACCAACCTGTACCGTTCGAGAGCGGCCGCCTGAGCGGCCTGAGCAGCCGCCTGAGCAGCGCCTGAGCAGCCGCTCGGGCAGCCGCGGCAGCGGCAGCCTCTCGAGCCGCCGCCTCGCGCGTGCCTTGTTTCTTGCTTTCTTCTCCTGCCGCGTGCGCGACGTCTGCTTCTTCTTCTTCTTGGCGCCCGCAGAGTGGGGCTGGCTGACCCGCCAGAGGTCGTGCTCTGGACGAGACTGGGGCAGGGCGACTCACCGGAGGTGAAGGGGGACGAGGGCGGAGGCAGACTCAGCTGCTCTCCGTTGACCTCATGTTGGTGGCAGAACCAGTTGGTTCCGTGGCAGTCGTCTCTCTTCTTCGTACAGAGGTGCTAGGATTGCGAGAGTCACAACCTTTCGTTCCGGGCCCCTTGCGTGGATTAACTATGAGCGAGGCCACTGCGAATCGTTAGTGTTTAGTGGATACGTCAATGAACACACCAGTGAGGGAGGGCGAGACGATCGAGGGGTCCCGTGCCATGCGGAATCGACCCTATCCCAGTGCAACAGTGCAACAGTGGATACGTACGCATCTGTGTCCGCGTAGTGTGTCTAGAGATCGTGGCATCGCGCGGCTGCAAAAAATCCAAGACAGGAACCCCGCTCCCGCGCTCCCCGCACGCGCACCCACACATAGCCTGCATCTACTCGTCGCAAATGATGGCGCCCTTGACCTTCATCCTCACGGCGAATGCCCTCTTCTTGTTGAGCAGCAGTAGCGTCTTGCCGTCGCGCCCGCCAAAGCAGAGGTTGCTGACGCCACCCTTCACCTTGATGCGGCCGAGGTAGCTACCGTCGGGCGAGTAAACGCGCACGCCATCGCCGCAGCCCGCGTAGAGGTTGCCGCGCACGTCGCACTTGAGGCCGTCTGGGTAGCCCTCGGCGCCCGTGTCGACTTCCTTCTTGTCGCACAGATCAATCAGCTTACGCGCGTTGGCCAGCGACGGCGCGCTGCCGTGTTGGCCGTCATGCACGACGTCATACGCAAAGACGCAGCTCCTCTCGCCGCCAGGGCACGCGTGCCGAAGCTGCTTGCCGCGGGCCCACTTCCCGCTCCACACATCAGAAACGTAGGCCGTCTTCTCGTCGGGCGACAGCAGCACGCCATTCGGCTCATCGGCGCGCCTGTCGACCCTGCGCCACTCGGCCAGATCCGAGCACTTTTGCGGGTGCGACGGCACAGCCCAGACGGCCTTGGCGGTATCAAACGGAGCCGCGCGAAAGCCCTGCGATTCGAGGCCGTACGCAGGGTCCGTGAAGAGGAGATGACCGGAAGACTTGTGCAGCACGAGATCATTCGGCGAGTTCAGCGTGAGGCCGGCTTCTGGGCCGAGTCGCGTCGCCACGCTCAGCGTTTTGTCGATGTGCCACAGCGAGCCGCTCACGGAGCCCAGCCCTTGCGAGCACAGGAACGCACCTCCCTTGAAGTCCGTGGTGCCGCCGTTGCCCATCTCTATCGCTTCTTCGAGCGCACGCAGCCGGCGCACGTTTCCCGACGGGTGGTGCAGCGCTATGATCTTAACGTTGGTGGCGAGGGTGTTTTGCTGCAGCCGGTCGGACGTGACGAGCCACTCCGAGGAGCTCGGAATCCAAACGCCAGCCTCGTGGAAGAGCGGCTCGTCACATTCGGCTAGCAGCACCGCAACAGACGTGTGCAGCTCGTCAAACTCGCAACTGGTCGCCTCGGTCGCCTCGAAGACGACCGGCCGCTCCGCCGGCTCGCACACGTCGGGCATGGCCGAGCAGCAGATGAAGCGCATGGTTCCAGTAGACCTACTGTTAAATGATAGTAGTAGGGCAGTGTGGTCGCAGGGCGCCCGGGTCGCCTCGGAGCAGCCCCGCCGCGGGTGGCAAAGGAAATCACTGGCTCCGGCGCGCGCATTGCAATGCCGCAGGCGTGACATGATTGGGCTCTGTGATCTAGATATCCGAACCTTTGAGCTGTGAAGGTCGGCCCGCCCCGGCGACACTCTTAGGGACTGCTGTAGGTAGGTGTCTGTCGACTCTCACAGCGAGGGACGAGGAATTCTCGTGGTGTGTGTGTGTGTGTGAGAGAGAGAGAGATGTAGATGTGAGAGAGAGATTTTTATTAACCAACAAGAAATCACGACTCTCACAGTGATTTGGGCTCGGCAGCTTGTTAGCCCCCTCAGCCGAAGCTGGGGCCGGTCCCGTAGCCGAGAGAGCCCGCGCCGATGAGTTCGACGCGGTCGGGGGGGCCTGCGGAGAGGCCAGCGAGGTGGCGATCGCTGTACTTCATGGTGTCATCAAGTGACTGGCTGACTCGCCAGAGGTCGATACTCTGGACGACCCATAGGATGCCACGAATGCCTGGAGGAGAGGGAGGCGAGGCCAGAGGCAGGCTCAGCTGCTCTCGGGTGATCCCGCTTTGGTGGCTGAAGGACCCGATGGTCCTGTCACATTCGTGTTCCGAGTCGTGGGGGTAGAAGAATTCGAGGTAGAATCGAGTCAGCACTTCCTTGTAGTACAGCGGACCGCCAGGCTCGCCGGCAGCATCCGCAGGGAGGCAGCATATGAGGCACCAGTTTTCTGGAGTGCTCAGCAGCTGCGGCCGCGCGGTGGCAGAGTCGGCCGCGGTTCGAGCGAGCAGCTTTTGGCTGCGGGTTCGAATCGCGGAAGGCTCATGCCCTCGCGGAGCGACGCGGGTCGCGCGGCGCGCGCGTGTGCGAAATGCGACAAAAGACGAAAGACGACAGGCGCCTGAGCGCTGTACGCCTGAACTTTTGTCGCCGCAATCGCCACCGCCGCCATCTTAGAGAGAAGCTCAGGGTTGGGTCGGAACACAAGCTCGTCAATGTCCCCGCCCACGTCGAGCCGATGAGCCCGGTGTGCGGTGAGGGCGGAGGCGATGTGTCTCGATCACAATTCTGCGCTGGCAAGTGTAGTCATCGGAAGGGACGATGCGCGCGTACTGTGTAGAACTGGAGCGCTGCTACAGAGATTGCACAGAGCGACGGCAAGCACACAATCAGGCCTACCTACGCCGCGTGGATGCTCCACATACACGTATGTGAGTCGGGCTGGCTCGAGCCTCCTTCCGTTGCGTCACTAGTTTGCATAGCGAAAACCGGCGATTTCGAAGCCTGTGCGCTGTGGCGGTTGGGTTCGCTAAGAAGGAGGGGGAGAGAGCGTTGAGGGGGCTCACGGCAAGGAAGGACACGGACCGAGGGAGGGGTCGGCCGTCACACCTCCCGCCGCCGAGAGAGCGACCGACCGGAGGGGGGGTCCGGTCCACCTCGGGGGCAGACCACCGACCGGCGGGGGGGTCCCCACGAAGTAGGGGGGGTGGGTACAAAGAGTGACGCTCGTATAAGAGGAATTAGGCTAAACCCTATATTAAGCTAAAGGGCTCCCTATACCCTAAGCCTAAATAAATAAATAAAAACGGACACCTCTACTGTGAGATGGGTACCCTAAGCCTAACTCAAGAAATCACCCCGTTTTTGCCCATTTACGGTCATCCGTCAAAATATCTGAAGATCTGACCGGGGGATTCTCCCCAAACCTTGCTCAGCTGATCCAGCCTGGGGGGAAGGCCAGGCCTGGGCAAAGAAACCAGCACCTCATCAGTCTTCCCTGAGCGTCACAGCTCGGTGATCGCGCCGGCCGGACACCACTGAGACGGCAACATTACGTGTGAGTGTTAGAGTTGTTTGGTATTGCTAAAAATCTCTCTCTCTCGATTCTCGAGGTTCTCGAGGTGGATATCCTTTGGCCGCGTTGGGTAGCGAGGATTGGTGTAACCCGAGCCACGGAGGCGTGTTTTCTGACGGCCGACCGTCAGTGCACGGAGTTGCCCCTTCTCCGACTGCCCCGGCTAGTTCCCGAGGTCGTCGGGTGTGACCCCTTCGTCCCCCGAGACCTAGCGCGGGTGGGTTGGAGGGGCCTCAGAAAGGCGCGCAAGCACGCCCTACGTCTTCCCCTCCTCCCCATCGGGCCGCATGAGCGGCCACGCCTCGCAGATTCGTTTCCGCGCCTGGGTCAGGCGCGCGGGGCATCCCCCGGGTCGCTCGACCAGCGATCCGAAGAGTGGCCGCTATGCGAAGGAAAGAGTGGGGCCCTCGACGCCTCAGTCCGGCCCTCCGAGGGGGGAAGGGAATTGCGGGGTCCCCACGGGCGCCTCAGTTCGGCCCTCCCGAGGGGGGGAGGGGAGCAAGGGGGTGGGGGGATCGGGGCGGGGGGGAGGGGTCTCGGATTTCATGGGTCTAAGACTTGCCTTTCGGGGAGGGGCCTCGGTTACGGCGAGCGCAGTGGCGCGCGCCCTACGTCTTCCCCTCCTCCCCAGAGGCAGCGAGTAGGCAGCGAGAGGGGGTATCGAGCGCCTATGTATGGTTGTGGTAATGTTGACGGGCGTGGGTGGTTGGGTGGGCGGGTGGCGGGCGGGAGGGCGGATGGGCGGGAGGGCGGGCGGGTGGGCGGGCGGGAGGGTGGGCGGGCGGGCGGGGCGGGGTTGGTGTCTAGCGTCAACGGCCGCCGCAGCGCAGCATCAGCAGTAGTAGTGTAGTAGCGGCAGCAGCAGCAGCGTCCTGCGGTGTCTAGCTCTTTCAGTCTATCTAGGCGGCCGCGAGGTTAATATACCGAATAATGGTGTCGAAACACCGGGGGGTGGTTGGCGCGCAGGCACCTGAGGTGTCGCCGTCGGGCGCGTGTGCGCCTCGGCTTCGACTCCTCCACGACTCACACAAGACGCTCCACTAGGCACCTCGCCCCACGACACAAGGCACTCCACTGGGCACCCCTCCACGGCACAGGACTCCGCTAGGTACCGCCCCTCTCTCTACCATGTC